CCCATGGCAATACCAATGTCAGCTAGTTTCAAAGCAGGAGCATCATTCACACCATCACCTGTCATGGCAACGATCTCTCCCATATCCTTAAGCATCCTAACGATCTCTTGCTTATGCCTTGGCTCAGCTCTTGAAAACACTTTCCCTCCAGGTTTGGACAGTATCTCAGTTCGCCGTGCAGCAGGAAGAGACATAAACTCTTTGCCTGTGAAGCTACTCTGAGAAAGATCTTCACTGTCTGAGAACAAGTTTATCTCACAGCAAATAGCTTCAGCTGTTGATTTGTTGTCTCCAGTGATAACCATAACTCTGATTCCAGCTTCTCTGCAGTCTTCAATAGCTCTTCCAACTTCTTCACGTGGAGGGTCTCTGAGACCAACAACTCCAACAAAGATTAAGTTTGTTTCGATGTTTGAATAGCAAGATGGGTCTAAAAGCTTCTTGTGTGAAGGATGTTCTTCAGAAGTGTAATCTGAAAACTCTCCAAGCTCGTCTTTGTAAGCTAACCCTAAACATCTTAACCCTTTTGAAGTCATTTCAGAATGTTTCTTGAGGATCACGTCTCTGCTAGATTCATCTAAAGCGACAACAGATCCATCAGCAAGCTGCGTGTAAGAACTTCTCTCAAGTATACTCTCTGCTGCACCCTACAAAAGAAAGCAAAAAAAATTTCAACAATGTTCAAGAAATCGCTAGGCGTAACTTGATGGTAACTAGGCACTTTGTAGAAGACTAGCTATTTGGTAGATTTTAGGGGCTTAAAAGAGGCTTATGCATTCACTAATTATTAATTCATTTCATATATATTTCATATTTATATAAGATATTTTAGTTTCTTGGTTTATTTAAAATTATTTTGATGAATTATTAAAATTAGATATATAAAACAAAAGAAATTAGACAAACTTGTGGATTTATACTAATATTATTGCTTAACCTAACAAAATTTAGACTAATTAAGATGGATTTAATTAATTTTAGCTGATTTAAAATAGTTTAAACTGATTTGAATCATATAAATCAGATTTTTAAAAAACATTTGGCCAAAACAGAGTTGCCCCTGCCGCCTATACCAAATTTTAGAACCTTGGTTTTCAACTTAAGACTATTTTTGAATAGATAAGAAGATATAGAGTTTACCTTAACAAGAAGGCGGTTTTGTCCACTTGGTTCACGCACGATAACACTCATGGACTTACGGACACGATCAAACTCCAATGTCGCAAGCCTTTTGGATCTTTTGTTCCACCAATCACAACAACCTAGTGCAGCAAGAACGGTAAAAATAAAGATCAATCAACAATCAAAACAACGTTACCATTTACACAATGAGACATACCTAGTTTCACTGAGCTACCATTGTCTGAAATGTTTGCATCTTCCTTGATATCCTCACCGTTCATCTTCTCCGGAACACCCATCTTCTCAACAAGAACTTTCAAAGCAGCTTCTGTAGGCAAACCTGTCGCTCTAAACAACTTCCCTTCATAGAACACTCCAGCATCATTACAAACCGAACATATCTCAGCAACCGCTTGCAAGTTAGCATCCATATTGTAACATCCCCAGTCAACAATCCCACCATCTTTAGGATCATAAGTCGTACCATCAACCGAAAAGACTCGAGAAACCGTTGGTTTACCGCCCAAAGTAAAGAACTGAGTTGCAGACATCTGGTTCGTTGTCAGAGTCCCTGTCTTGTCTGAACATATCACAGTCGTGCAGCCGAGTGTCTCCACACTAGGAAGCTTCCTCACAATCGCGTTCTTCTGCGCCATTTTCCTCGTCCCCAAGGCTAAACATGTCGTGATCACGGCGGGTAAGCCCTCTGGAATCGCTGCCACGGCGAGCGCCACGGCGATTTTGAAGTAGTAAGTGCATTTCTTGAACGAAAACTTGTAACCATCCACTGGATCCCAAGAGACAAAGTTCTTGTAGTTGATGATCCAGACGAGCACACATACAATGCAAATGGAGGTAGTTAATCTACTTCCGAACTCGTCTAGCTTCTTCTTCAAAGGAGTGTCGCTCTCTTCGAGCGAGGCCTCGTGGATCTGTCTCTGGATCTTCCCTATCTCCGTGTCCATACCGATGCTTGTCACAATGCTAACACAGCTCCCGTTAACAACGGTTGTTCCAGCGAAAACCATATTCTCTTTCCCTTGCAACTCACAATCATCAACCACTACAAGGTTAGCTCCTTTCAAAACCGGCATTGCCTCTCCGGTTAACGAGCTTTGCTCGACTCTCAGCGTCGATGTTTTCAAACCGGAGACGCGCATATCAGCAGGGACTTTATCTCCAACATGTAGCTCAACTATGTCACCAGGAACAAGCTCTCTAGCGGGGAGATTCGGCAACACAGATCCGTCTCTGATAACCTTTGCGGATTCGCATTGCATCTCTTTAAGAGCCTCGAGTGCTTTCTCAGCGTTACTCTCTTGCCACACGCCAACCACAGCGTTTAGAATCAGAATCAAAACGATCACAAAAGGCTCAACAAAGGCCTCGAACCCTGCACCTGAGCCTGAGCCGTGTTCTTCTCCTAGGAACGCTAAAACGAAAGAGATGAAGGCTGCGCCGAGGAGAATCTTCACGAGGGTGTCGTCGAACTGTTCTAGTACAAGATGCCATAAGGGTTTGCCTTTCTCCTTGGCTAGCTCGTTGTAACCGTGTTTTTGACGGCGGGTTTGGACTTCTTCGGTGGTTAGACCCTTGTCTAGTGTTGTGTTGTATTCTTTCAGACATTGGTCAACGGACCATGACCACGGCGATAACGACTTCTTCTCCTCTTCCATTGATTCAAGAGCTTGAGAACGAAACTACAGTTAATCAAAATCCTGCAGAAAATTACAAAACAAGAAACAAAATTTTTAGTCAGACAACAGTTAAAGTTTTTAAAGATTGTAATGACGGTTTGATGGAAGATCTGTATGAAAAATGGAGAAATATACAAACCCAGAAACCGAAAACAGAGAACTGAGTGAAAGTGAAAGAGAGAGACAAAGCAGGTAAAAACAGAGTATTCTTACCTAAACCCTAAGGAAAATTATAAACTAAGCAACAAAATTTAAGTCAAACAACAGTTAAAAGTTACGGTCTTTAGAGACTGTAATGTCTATTCTATAAAACAGAAAAGAATATCAAATGGAGATCTGTAAAGAACAAAGAAGTGATAGAGACAGAGCGTGTAGAAAACAGAGTACTCTTACCTAAACCCTTGAGAAAATTATAAACCAAGCAACATAATTTTTAGTCAAACAACATTTAAAGTTGCGATTTTTAGAGACTGTAATTAGGTTTAATGTCCATTCTATAAAAATGAAGAAGATATCAATGGAAGATCTGTAAAAATGGAGAATAATACAAACCCAGAAACTAAAAAACAGAGTGAAAGTGAGAGAGAGAGAGAGAGACAGAGAACTCTTACCTAAACACCAGGAAGTTAAAAAGCTTTGGTCATTTGAAAATTCAAGAAGAACCAGAGAAAACTCTATTTTCAATATTAAAAAGAAAAAAAAATGGGTTTTGACCGAAAGTTTGCTTGGAGACAAAGCAGAAGTTTTTATTCTCAAGTTTGGATTCGTGTAAGTACCAGTAACAAGGAAACAAGAGGGTGGTGTGGACAAGTCTTTGGGTTTTCTTTCTCTGACTTTATTTTGCTTGGTTTTGATATATTTGAATATATTACTTTCTTCTTCTGTTTGCTTTACAGAAAGAAAAAAAAAAGGGAAGGTTTTGGTATCCGTATTAGTGCGTGATGGTGGTCCCTTTGGATACGCCTACGCTCTTCAAAAAGAAAACGGAACGTTAACTTCCATTCCTTATTTTGAAAATTACCATACTACCCTTTCTTTTAAACCGTTATTACGCGTTTTGACTTTGCCTTTCCCGTACGGCTCCCCAGTCGTGTATTCCATTTTCCTCTCACATAAGTATTAAATTAATGTTTTTTAATCACAGAAGCAAAGTCAAATGATTTTAAGGGTTTGATAAGACAGGTAACCAATGACAAAACACAGAAAGTTCTTTACTGTTTTTAAGAGAATTTATATTTCTCTGAGAACATCTGTCAGTGGGAGTGCTGTCTGAAGATCTGCGGCCTGGTTTCAGCACATTAATTGTTATTAGCATATTCGATTTAATATATAATCATCGGTTACAACAAAAAGTGAGGTTCCTCGAAGTTTCGTGCCTCTCTTCCTCTAGGCCCTACCTCCACTACGCTTTTGCATTTTTTTTTTCTTTTTTAACAGCTTTTGCATTTTGTTTATCTCAAATCAACATAGCTTTTAATAATTTTTTTAGAGTGCGCAATTATTGATTGATTATATAAAACTTCACCGGTTATATTCCTTTGAGACGATTATACTATATGTATATTCCGTCAATTTAAAATGAAAATGGCACGAAGTTAATTAATCAACTAGATAATAGCATTTTGCCCAAAAAAAGAAACTAGATATCATTAAATGAGTCAAATGAGAGTGACTCAAGCCCTATTCGATTATTGGGCCGGAAAAAGTACTCTTTAAGCCCATTCAGAGTCCAATGTTAAGAGATCTTCATATGTGACGGGCAACCATATGTTTCTTACAAACTTTAAAAAAAGAATTATTAGGTGAAAATATTATTTCATGTATCATTATGTCACTAGAAACATAAAAATGAATAAAACAGACATATTCATTAATCATTTCTCCGTTTAAACAGCACAATCATTGGCCATATCATCTGCATGTCTTTCTTAATAATTACTACAAAACCCAAAATTAATTCAAGAATCCTAGATGAACACCGCACGGCGTCGTCTTAACAAAAGCCTCGCTAGGGCGATTAAACACGCATGTTACATTTACCAT